GTTATCGGGTGACGTGGCCCGATCCACGGGCCCGCTTTTGGAAGCAGGATTCCTATATAGAGATAGGAGTCCAATCTTTTGTCAAACATAGTGTCTCTACAGTGATCTTGACAAGAATGATAGGTTTGGACTTGGACGTCACCACTTTTATTTACTAAGCTGATATTCAACTTTTTTTGGCTTCTTTTGCTTAGTTTTTTCATATTGATGGTGTTATTTCGTCACAAACTACAAAGTTGATCCAATTTAATTACTCAAACAAAGATTAAGAAGTGAATATAAGCCTAAAAATTAATCGAAAAGAAGAATATAAGCCTAAAAATTAAGGATGCTACTTCAAATAGAGTTTATGGAGAATAGTATCAATAGTTAAAATATATTTCATAACAAATCTTTAATTTAGTATGATAAGAATTAATATCTTTTACATAATTTTAATTGAATTTAAGATAGTTTGACTAAGCACTATCATTATAGAGTTGTACTCTATGGGCCTGTTTGGAACGCGGGAAAATTTCCCTGTTCCCGTGTTTTTCCTGTGAAATTCATGTGCGATTCTTGCGTTCCAAACATGCCCTATATTTGTTAGAACGGAAGGAGTGTTTTCTCAAAAGAATCAGGTCTATGTCACTACTGGATTCAGGTTCTTTGCCGAGTGCCTGAGGCACTCGGCAAAGGCCAAATTGCACTTGACAAAGAACACAGGGCAAAACATTGATCGGCAAAGCCCTCTTTGCCGAGAGCCCCCGGGGCCCTCGGCAAAGAAAAGCGACTGTCACGGCGCCGGCCCCGTTGACGGTCGCTTTGCCGAGTGGCAACCCTGCAGGCACTCGGCAAAGATTTTTTATTTTTTTAAAAAAAAATTCTTTGCCGAGTGTCCTCTATCCGGCCCTCGGCAAAGATGTTTTATTTTTTTTCTGAAAATTCTTTGCCGAGTGCCCCCTTACCGGCGCTAGGCAAAGTTTGATTTTTTTTTAAAAAAAATTCTTTGCCGAGTGCCCTCTGGCCGGCACTCGGGAAAGTTTGATTTTTTTTAAAAAAAATTCTTTGCCGAGTGCCCTCTGACCGGCACTCGGCAAAGTTTGATTTTTTTTTTAAATTCTTTACCGAGTGCCATGGTCGTGGCACTCGGCAAAGCTGGAAAAATGGTTTTCCGAGCGCCCATTTTTCCAGCTTTGCCGAGTGCTGTGACCATGGCACTCGGCAACGGGTCCTTTGCCGAGTGCAACACTCGGCAAAGTGACCCAAAACGATAATTTTTAATTTTTTTTACATTTCATCATGACAAATAAATTCATACAAACATATATCACATATATATCTCATCCATCACATATATATCTCATCCATCCACATATCTATCCGCACATATCACATCCATCACAATATATATCACATATATAATAATAAGTGCTCAAGTCCATCCAAATAAATCCACAAGTCCATCAAAGTCCACAAGTGCATCACAAGTATATCACCAATCCATCACCAAGTAAACAACAAATGAAAAAAAATACAATGTGCACTCATCTCGGCCACTGCGACTGTGGTGAAGGCCCAGCTCCATCATTCGGAGGTGCATGAGGTGGATTATTCGAACCACCGCCAGATGTAGACTGCACAAAGGAAAAAAGATTGCATGTGAGACAAGATTATTTGGATAGCTAATCTAGGAAGGTAGATACCATACAAGCAAAGCACAAACGAAAGTAAAAAACTTTCATACTCACAGGAGTAGCTGCAGTTGCAGGACACAGAGGCGGAGGTGGAACCAACAGCCCAGCTGGCAGAGAGAAGCCCACACGTTGCCCAAGCCCTTGTAGGAACTCCGTAATGTCCGTCAGCCTCTGCGCCTGGGCCTGCCGCTCGGCCTGCTCGGCCTCCAGCTGGGCCGCCATCCTCTAGTGCCCGGCCTCTAGCTCCTAATGTTGCCTCATTTCTTGTTCCAGCCGGACCTGCAATATTTCACTCTAATGTTTCAGTCTTGTATTTCGGACACAACAAACTTACCATATATCAGTCTCAGGACTCACACGAACAGGATATTCAGAAGTCAGCACTATATAGGGATCCTTTAGTCCATCTTGTTTCATTGATACCTAACAGTTACAGTCCGAGTGCATTTCGTTTACTGAACTATTGAATTTCACTAATCTTTCAGGAAAAAGGATACTCGGCCCATCTCTGCATCAGCTCCTTGTCACGAAGGTAAAAAGGTAAGCAGGGCCACAATGTGAGTGTATTTTCCTCATAATGACCCTACCAAACTTTCTGTTGTTAAGGCGTGTACCATTGTGCTCTATTCATGGGTCTACACAGTGAAATGCCATTATGCTTACAGTCAGAAACTCATGATTTTGTTCAAACTCTATCATGTGGTAGTATTGAATCAACAGAGCTGGCCCTGAAATAAGGCCTGTGATCTGTTAAAGTTTCACTCCTGTTCTCCTTTACATAAATGCAGCCATTCTGGAACAATTATGCTGAGCCATATATAAATATATGATGAGATAAATGTTTGAAGGTTAGATACTGCAGTTTTATAGTACACTTAAAGCTGCATTTATAAGATCAACTCTTCTCCTTACGGTGGCCATAACTTCTAACTCTCTAATTGCTTGTCATTTCTGAAGCAGAAGCGGCCCATTGCGAGCACACCCAACTTACTAGAGGACCTTTTGGAGAAGCAGAGAGCGTATTTTGCAGACATTGACACCTTTGAGCTGGTAGAGGAAGAGGCGTCGGAATCCGAGCTGGAGTAAAAACTGAAGCTGATCCCAGAAGACAAGGCCCTTATTTTTTTTCTTGGGGTACAGAAGTAGTTTACTGGAATCACATTTACCATGCGATGCAGCAGCGAGGTATGGTAGCAATGTATAGCTAGCTCTACTTGTAACACGGGGGCAGACTGGTGTACCTTGGTGCAGTGATCACCGGTGAATGAATGTCTCGATAGGCCACTGATGTTCCTACTAGCAAAGCTTCTAGTTGCAGCATAGTAGTAAGGCATATATAGTGAGATGAGATCTCAGGATTAGGGAGGATCTCTACTGTATGAGAAAATGAGGTTGTAGTTAAGACAGCACTAATCGCTCGATGTTTGTCTGTTTGGAACTAGTTGTTTTGCATTGCTTTGTTAATCCTGGAGTTGGGGGTGAGGTTGTGTTGGCAAAGCCATTACAAATGTGCGTTACGGAAGATGTAAGTATGGATGGTGCTGGGTTGGGTGTGGAATGAATGTGGAAGCAATGAGCATCTCTTTGCTTCTCTGTATAAGGCCCCGTTTAGATTCCAAAAAATTTTACGCAGTGCCCGTCATATCGAATCTTACGGCACATGCATAGAGTACTAAATATAGACGAAAAAAAAACTAATTGCACAGTTGGGTGAGAAATCGCGAGACGAAACTTTCAAACATAATTAGTCTATAATTAAATACTAATTACTAAATACAAATAAAAATACTACAGTGGCTAAAACCCAAAAAATTTTGAATCTAAACACGCCCTAAGTTTCCAGCTCCACGGCATGTTGGTCGGCTGGCCGCCACTTGAGGAACCGAGGAACAAAGCTTCCAGCCACTTGTACCTGCTGGCTCTTTTTGTCAAGCCGTGCCATACTGCCCCTGCAACTGAGCAGAAGATTCAGAGCTGCTGCTCCTTGTTTCTTTCTTTCTTTTTTCTTTTATCTTGCTACAGTTGCTTGGGCTCAACTCCCGTTCGATCTAACAGGCGAGCAGCGAGCGATTTTGCAGGAATGGTGTTCATGTCTCACTCATATGGGATCTACAACTGCTCCTGGGCCTTGTTTAGTTTGTAAAATTTTTGGCGAAATGGTAGTAGTACTTTCGTTGTTATTTGGCAATTAGTGTCCAATCATAGTCTAATTAGGCTTAAAAGATTCGTCTCGTGAATTTCGTCTAAACTGTGTACTTAGTTTTATTTTTTATTTATATTTAATGCTTCATGCATGCGCCAAAGATTCGATGTGACAGGAAATCTTAAAAATTTTTACAAAATGAAGTGGAACTAAACAAGGTCGCTTTTCGACCATCATTCGCCAAAACTGTTCTTGATGCTTTGCTTGTCAGGTCCAGGGCAAGTCAGTTCTCTACACTCTACTCAGCAGAAATTTATTACTATGCGGATCAATCTTCAATGCCATGCGATAAGGGCTTGTTTAGATTCCAAAAAATTTTACGCAGTACTCGTCATATCAAATTTTACGGCACATGCATGGAGTACTAAATGTAGACGAAAAAAAAACTAATTGCACAGTTGGGTGAGAAATCGCGAGACGAAACTTTTGAACCTAATTAGTCCATAATTAGACACTAATTACCAAATACAAACGAAATGCTACAGTGAGCCAAAATCCAAAAAAATTTGGATCTAAACGGGGCCTAACTCTCTTTTTTTCCCCTACTGTGGTCAATGACAATTACAGTACTCAGTTCATATATATACTCGCCGTCTATATGGCGTAACAGCAATAGCAGTAGCAGCCTTGTGATTTGTGAAAGTTCAAAGTTGATTTCCAGCACGATCAGATATAGGGGGCATTCCAATGTTTCAAACATAGTACGTTTAGCTTATAAGCCGTACTTTTTCAGCCATCGAACAATATTTTTCTCTCACAACAAATCAGCCAACAATACTTTCAACCATGGTTTATCAGCCAAGCGAACAGGACAGCTTGTTTGGCAGCTAGTTTTTGCAGCCGCTGCAGCTGCTATGCCTCTCACAAAATCACTGTACAAACAGCCAGCTGCAGCTGCTATGTCTTTTTCCCTCATACAACAACTTATTCTGGCAGTTTGCCATAATGTACGATAAAATATACCAGTCAATATAGCCATGCCTCTGCCTGATGCGAAAAAAGAATATTCAAGCTACTTGCATAAGGTAAGTTAGAAACTCAGCATGTGCAAATATTCTGCCTATAAATATATCTGCACAAATTGACACTGTCGAACACATCGCTCTAAAGCCCTGAGCAAAATGACCTCCCATAAACCCCTCACTTGCAGTGCCTTGGCCCTGTTCTTTGCTGCAGGCTTGGTTTCAGCTCAGCTTACAGCAAATTTCTATGACAAGTCAGGCCCAAATGCATTGTACACCATCCAAACAGCAGTAAGACCTGCTGTTGCCAGGGAGAACCGCATGGGCACATTATTGCTCCGTCTCCAATTCCATGACTGCTTTGTTAATGCAAGTGTCCCAAATCTGCACATATGTGTCATACTTCACATTTTCTAGATTAATTAGTAACCATGGAAATCCTAACCATGCAGGGTTGTGATGGCTCGGTGCTGCTTGATGACACCCCAACCTTTACAGTGGAGAAGACCGCTGTTCCAAACAACAACTCCCTGCGTGGATTTGATGTGATCGACAGCATCAAGGCACAGCTTGAGGGGATCTGCCCACAGGTGGTATCATGTGCTGACATCCTCACTGTGGCAGCACGTGATTCTGTTGTCACAGTAAGACAAAACACAAGGAACATTCAAATTAGAGATAACAAATTGAAATATAAAAATGGTTATGATTGTGAACTAGTAAGTGTTGATCCAATACTTCAACTGAAATGAGGATGAAAGGAACTCTTTATGGTTAAACTGAACAACTAAATCAACAATCATGTTCAAATATTCTATAGCAACTGATTGACTAAGTGTATTTCATGCATTCCAAAAGAAAAAAACAATTGTAGAAGTTGACAATTTTTATTTCAGCTTGGAGGACCAACTTGGGCTGCAATCTGGGACTGCGTGACTCAACAACAGCAAGCCTAGATGCTGCAAACAGACATCCCTGCACCAACCCTTGACCTCAGTGACCTTACCAAGTCCTTCTCAAACAAAAGGATTGAGTGCAACTGACATGATTGCACTCTCAGGTACTGCAATATTGTAAATTTTCTCATCAACTAAATCATAGTCCATGCTACACTCGTTCACTGAACAGTTGATTACCAGTTATACTATTACTAAATATTGACGGATATGGAGAAAAAAAATGCCAGGAGGTCACACCATTGGGCAAGCAAGATGTGCTAACTTCCGTAACCGCATATACTGTGAAACTAACATCGATACATCCCTTGCAACATCACTGAAATCAAATTGTCTGAACAAGACTGGTGACAATAAAATCTGCCCCCTTGACGCCTCAACACCCTATGTTTTTGACAATTTCTACTACAAGAACTTGTTGAACAAGAAGGGTGTTCTGCATTCTGACCAACAACTGTTCAATGGAGGCTCAGCAGATTCCCAGACTACCACCTACTCTTCAAAGATGGCCAAATTCTCCACCGATTTCAGTGCAGCAATGGTGAAGATGACAAACATTAGCCCCCTTACTGGATCCAGTGGACAGATAAGGAAAAACTTCAGGAAGGTAAACTAGGACCATGTAATCTTGATTGAACGGAGAAGTGTTCCTTTTTTCAAACTGAGTCCTCCCCAAAAGATGTACCCACAGCTTTTCAAAGCATATATGTGAAAGGAATAAAATGACATGAAGAATGTTTTTAATCAGTGTTTGGGTATGCCTCTTACCTAGCTTCTGAACTTAGTCACTTTCACTTACAACCTAATGGATAAACATTGTTTCAATAATGGGACAAGAATTAATGCCACTAGGATGACTCGCTTAGATAGAGTGTATGCATTTAAATCATATCTTTAGAACTTTGAAATTCAAGCAAACAGTGATGGTACTCAGTAATATAATATGAAACTGCAAATTTTGTACAAAGAGAACAGGAAGTTCTATACAAGTGGGTTAATAGCCCACACAATTCCAATCAGAGGATAAAACAATAGAAAATTTCCTAACATTGTGATTGCAGGCAGAATCATGACTGATGAATGTTTCGTATGGCTACATTGATACTTTTACAGTCAAAGTCCATGATCTTCATCCAGTTCTCGAAATCTCCAATTTCCTACATACATAACAATACAAAAAAGGATTCTTCAGCAGAAACAAATAGCGCATGATTTGGATTGAATTTTCCTGTGAAAAAAAAAATCATCCAATACAAAAGGTAAAGCATCCAGTGTTCTAGTTTTTCTTGTCAGAGAACAGAAGATGAGTGAACTCATTTTTCTAATCAGTGTAGCAAGATTCATATTTCGGTTTCACCATGTGAATTGAAGGGGGATGTGAGTGGGCATGGCATCAGCATATCACTGTTAGTCACCTTCAAGACTGCGTTGATCTCGTTAGTGGCAGCGAGCCACTGATCCGTCTGCTTCCTGTAGCGCGCGATGGTACCGAGCAGCGCGCGGGCCTCAAGCTCAACGCGCTTCTCGTTGACGAAGAGCTCCTGCACCCCGCCGTCGACCGTGGCCACAAGCAGATCCGCGACCCGCACCGCGCTTCTCAAAGCATCCCTCTTCGCTCTCTCTGCGTGTGCGTGCGCGTGGAGCGAGATCGGGTCGCCAAATTTGGTTTATTCTATCACATGGGCAGGCTGCTGTGCAGAAGGCAGAAATCAAAAGCAATGGCGGGCTGGCGGCGTACCAGTTTGCTGGCGTTGGCGGAGGGATTGGTGGTGGTGCTGATGCACGATCTGGAGCAGCGCGCCTTCCAGCTCCTGCTTCCCGCCCACCACTGGCTTGGCCCCGTCCATCCCGTCCGGTTCGCCGCCGGTCGCCGGAGCAATTCCCCACTTTCTTTTCGTTTTTGTGGGAAGGGAGAGAAACCAGCGGAGACAAAGACAATTCCTCTGCATTGCGATGAGTTAGCCAATGAATGGGCCACGGCCCAGGTAATAATCTCCTAAAGGCTCCCCGAGAAAACGAAAGAAGCTGATCCAGATTAGACGGCCCGCTAAGTTCGAGGCCCAGCCCTCCATATTATATCCTCGTAGTATCCGGATTAGCCCGGCACGGTGGCAGAATGGCAGTTTCACTCGTTGGAGTCTGCAGTGGCGGAACCACACCTTTTGATAAGAGGACCGGACAATACGTGATACTTAGTACCTCATAAACATAACAAATATATATAATAAATATATGTCTCAATAGCTAGGGCTGAAAACGATAACGATAATTTCCATTTACCGGGAATCGTTTTTGAAAAATTACCGACTTTTGCTCCTAAATAAAAGTGGTGACGGTAACCGAGGAAACGAAAATGATAATGGTAAAACTATACGGTAATGAAAACGAAAATGATTTGCCTCACTTCCGACCGTTTTCGAAAAATACTGTAATTAACCAGTATTCTACCGTCGATAATTACCATATCCCAGGCAGGCCACGAGCCCACAACGCCATCCCTGGCTCTTCCTGAATCATAGACTAGGCCCAGCCTACTGAGTGTTGAACGCTCTCCTTGCTAGCCTTATCCCCACGCAAAAATCATGTCTCTTGCATTATTCCTCATTCTCGTTTCTATCCTTTTTTAAGTCCAAGTATCGAACTAAGAACTTGGTTCGATTACGAGTGTACTGGTATGTAAGTTTGTGAGTGGCTAATGGGGCCGTTCGCTGGTCTGGATGTTCCAGCCAGCCGGCTGCTCCCCCTCACAGTTTACTGTTCACCAAACCAGCCGAACAGTATTTTTCTCTCACAACAAACCAGTCAGAACAGTGTTTTTCAGCCAAGTTTCAGACCAGCGAACGGGGCCAATATGTCTATGTGGCTGTCAGCTTGTATGCTCGTGTGATCTAACTCTTAAGTCCAGGACGTTAGAACTTGTGGTTGTGGGCTTATGGCTTTTGTCACTTCTGGTTCTTTCGTATCAAGTATAACTATGTGTCAAGCTATATAGCTATTGTCATGCTCTGCAGATTGACGTGTTTATCGTATTTCAGATACCGCTTTGATGATTTTCTATCGTTGTCAATGCACTTTCGAACAAATAGTTTTGTTTCCGAAATTACCGGAATATCGACACCGTATTTGTTTCCGCCAATATCGTATCGATTTCATTTTCGAGAAAATAATGTGAAAATAAGAGTGATTTAACCTCCTACCGATCGTTTTCGACCGTTATCAGCCCTATCAATAGCTTTTCAATGCTTTTACATATATATTTAGTACTCGTAACGAAAAAGCATAAGTAATACTCACTGATCTGCTCGTGGACTTTGAATCTGTTGCCAGTTTTTGGGTGGCTAATAAAAAAACACAGTGACTAATATAGTTTCTTAATGATGGAAATTACGGAATGAGATTTGTTTTCAGGGGATGAAATGGCTGGGCGTGAGAGGATCGTCACGATGTTAAGAAGATGGGTGCCCATGCTGCAACAAGAGATGGAAGGGAGAATAGAGGAGCTGGTCGTTCAACTGAAAGTAAAAGCATCATCTCCTCCGCGGATAACAGGGCAAATTCATCATCAGGGCCTTAAAAAATCAACGTTGCAATGACTCCAGCGTTGTGACTTCGGTTCGCCATGATCAAGTGATGAACTTAGACAGTAACGTTTTGAATTTTTCTGAGATGTTGCCTTAAGGCCCTCTCTGTAAGGCGGGCGCGCCTAAACGCGGAGTTGAAACTTGTTTCGCTTTTTGAAATACAAAAGCAGTGGAAAACTCCTTTTTTTCTTAAAAAAAATAGATGATGGAATTTGTCAAACTTATATATGCCATGAACAAAGATGTGGTTAGCTAAAAAATGCTGTTAATTGGCCGGTTGAAGTCTTGAAGTGTACTACAACAGCAACGGCGTAGAAAAATAGTGTCAAATAAAATGGATCGTGCATACAGCTAGCTAGCTAATAGTTACTGCACTGTTTGTCAAACTGCCTATTGTTGACAAGTTTTGTTTTGGTTGAAAGGCCGGCAAGCGTCCAAACGTGAACGTGTCAAAATCATGCATACAGCCGCTTGCCATGCACGCACGAGTCACGAACGAATAATAAAGTAACGACGACGACGTCGACGACCTACTCGCTCTTCCAATCATATCCATGCTGCAGCATGCAGCTGAGGTATGCATGTACAAGTCTTCAGCCTCCTTTTCCCAAACAAACACATGCATCTTCCTCTCCTATCGGAGCCAAACTATATTTGTATATCTAACTGATAACTGAGAGTCTGTTTGCAACGCAGAAATTTCACAATATTTATATGGGAAATTCTATAGTAATAAATTTTAATTTCACTGGAAAAACGTAGAAACATGGAAAAAATCCTGTGTCCCAAACAGACTCTGAATATTCTGCTTATATACTATACCTTTATCTAAGAAGGAATATAATTCTAAATTTCGTTAAAGTCAAACTAACTTAACTTTGACCGAGTTTAGAAAAAATACTAGTATCACCATTTAAGACTCTAAATATGTACTGTCTCCATTCCAAATTAAAAGACATTTAAGCTTCTTGAGATACATTGCTTTAACTGTGTATCTATACATACATAGTGTATATATAAGTATGTAGCAAAATCTATGTATCTAGAAAAGCTAAAATAATTTATAATTTGGAATTGAGAGATTATTATATTATGAAAATATATTATGTGATAATTTAATGATATTTATTTAGTATGATAAGCATTGATACATTTTTTATTTCAATTTAGTCAAAACTTAAGGTGGTTTGACTGAACATTATTCTAGAATTGTGTTCCTTTTAGATGGAGAGATCTAATATCTTTGCATATTCTGACTAACTATTCTTTTAACCATATATGACCTAGACATCAACATCAAGATGTCCAACGACTTTGTTAATCTAAGATGTATAGGTTTGGTCTTTTGAGACATTATAGAGAGTAAGATGTAGGTCATGGTGTGGAGTGCGCCTATTGGGAGGTGTTTATAGGAGCCACATGTATTGGCAGATTACATGTGGATGCTCTCGCTGAGCCGCAATTTTTTTCTTTAACGCAATGGTATGACCTCTGTCTTTAAATTTAAAAGAGAACAAATAAAGTTAGCTACAGGAGTGTTAAAAGAGCACATGACAGGCTCCCCTAGCCAGCCAGAGGAAAGGGGCGCAGAGAGCCCAAGGGCCAAAATAAGGCGAAAAGAGACATTGCTTTTACAAAACCCAAGCAAAAGTCCTATTTCTCAACACACTATTGGTTGGGCTATGTCTTTTAGAAAAGCTGTTGTGAGCTGTGGGTTTTATAAAAGCAGCTGTGTAAAAGTAGCTATGGGACAAGCTAAAGTCTGTTTGGTTGAATACGGGTGGCTTTGACAACACGGTTGTCAGTGGGTCCCACATCCCATCTATGGCCCACATGTCATCCACATAATGTATATTCCTCTTCTTCTTTTTTTCTGCGTCCTTCTTTTTCCTCTGAACCGCACGGGCAACGGACGAGCTGCTGGAGGCGCGCTGTTGGGGCGCGCCGGCCTGGGACGAGTGGCTGGAGGCGCGCCGGCCTAGGGCGGTGACCTCGCTGGCCCTCGCTCGGGGGCGAGCAGACCCACCACCGTGCCGCCCTGGGCATCGGGACGAGATGTCGCCTGGGCGGTATGCGGCGGCGAGGGACGGGAGTGACGAGCAGAGGATGAGGAGGCGGGGAGGAGGCCACACCTGGTGGAGATGGTGCTCCGGCGAGCGGCCCTGGTTGGGCCGAGCTGATGCTCCGACTGGGGATGCGTGGAGGCATGGGGGCACCGACTGGCCGCGGAGCTTACCACGGGAGGGTCTGCGGCGGCCGCCGGGGCTGGCCATGCCCGCCGACCGGGGCACGGAAGGGGCTGCGGAGTGGCATCGGGCGTTGGCTGGCCGTGGGGCTAAGGCGGGGGCGTGTTGGTGGCGTCGGAGGGGGGTGCCGGTCAGGTCTGGGGCGTGCAGAAGGCGGCGGAACGGAGCGCCGGCGAGGTCCCAGGGCGGCGCAGATGGGAGGGTCGCGAGCTCGCGGAGAAGATGACGTCGCGGACGGGAAAGAATTGGGGAAAGAACGAAACGTTATGTTCATAACCAATGAAACGCGGGTAATTTTTTCTCCCAAAAGTAGCTAAAAGCAGGAAAAGATGTGCTTTTGGATTTGTATCAAAGTGAAAGCTGCTTTTCAGAAAAAAACAGTTATGGCTTTAAGTCTTTGGTTGGCTTTTGACTTTTAAAAAACAAAAGCAGGTTTAAAAGGCTAACTTAACGGGGTCTAAATCTTTCCGGACTTTCATAGCGATCTGTTGCGCCGTTTGAAGCTCATTATTGAAGATTCTTTTATTTCACGCTTTCCAAACGTTCCCACTGAGTGTATATTACATACTCCATTGAAAGTGCGTTTTTGTTCGTTGGGTATGATCCTCGCTGTGGCTTTCCACCATTCAGCTATGTTGAAGATCTAGTATAATATACACATGTGTTTGTACTATCACAGGGCACAGGACAACAATAAATTACGGTTTTAATTTCAGTTGCAATTTGATGTCCATATGTGAAGATAAGCAACGAGACTGGTGGATTAAGGGCCTATTTGTCTTTTCACCAAAGTTGGCCACATAGTACCCTAGTTCAGGTGCCGAATGTTCGATGAGCAGGAGTGCCCACTGCGGCCAAGCTTTTGGCAAGAAGCGGCGACAACAAAACAGTATTGTGTGCGTGGCTGTCTAAAGGAATTCGAGATTTCTCGGTGTGGACATGCAAACTTTAAACATATATGTAAATTAAAGTCACTAGCTAGTACCGGTGATGGAGAAATTAAAGGCCAGACAGGGTTCG